CCTGGACCCCCCCCAAACAGCTGGACCCCCCCCCCCCCACTGGGGACGTAGATCTCAGCCCGCTGCTCATCCGGGAGCTCGCTCCAGTTGCGTTTGGCCGTGGCCACGCACGGCTTCTTCACCAGGAACGCGCGGGGCATGGCCGCCGCCCGATCCCCGATCCCCCGACGGATCCCCCCGTGACGACGTTCTGGCCCCGATTCCGACCGGCTCCGCGAGCCCTTGGCCGGTCCGGCGCCGGATCACCGATCCCCGGCGGGTTTCGGTGCCGGATTGCCAGGTCCCAGGTGGGGGGCGGTGGTGGATCCCAGATCCCTGGGTGCTTTCGGCACTAGATCCCTGGATCCTTGGTCGGATTTGGTGCCGGATCCCAGATCCCTGGTCAAGTTTGATGCCAGATCACGAGTATTTGGACACTAACGGCGCCAGATCCCCCGTCAGTCTTGGTGCCAGATCCCTGATCCCTGGTCAATGTTGATGCCAGATCACGAGTATTTGGCCAAATCCAATCCCAGATCCCAGATCCCAGGTGAAGTTTGGGGCTGGATCCCCAAACTTTGGTCAGATTGGGGGCTGGATCCCAGCGCTCCAGCCAGTTTCCGTCCCAGATCCCAGGTCAGTTTTGGTCCCAGATCCTGGATCTTCAGTCAATTTTGGTGCTGGATCCTGGAACTTTGGTCAATTTTGGTGCCAGATCCCAGACTTTCAGTCAATTTTGGTGCCAGATCCTGGATCTTCAGTCAGTTTTGGTGCCGGATCCCAGATCTTTGGTCAGTTTTGGTGCCGGATCCCAGATCTTTGGTTGGTTTCGGTGCCGGATCCCGGATCTTTGGTCAATTTTGGTGCCGGATCCTGGCTCCCTTGGTTGGGTTCCACCACTGGATCCCAGGTGGATCCCACCACCGGATCTGGCACCCTCAGTCCATCCCAGTGCCCGATCCCGGCTCCGGCGTCAGCTTCGTGGCACTGAGTCCCGGCGTCGCCGTCACGGAGAGCCGGCGATGTCACTGTCACCCGGCGTCACCAAGGTCTGGTGTCAGCAAAACCGGTGTCACCGTCACCCGGTGTCACCGAAACCTGGCAGTGTCACCGTCACCGCGCCGTCACCGTCACCGAGCCATGAGCCGCCACCTCAACGACACCGTCCGTCGCCGGCTAGACGCCACCGGTTGCGGTCGGCGAGGCCAGTCGTTGCCGGCTGAGCATCGCCGGCTGTGCCGTGCCGGT